GTGCTTATAAATTCCAACACTCACTTACTAAACATTGTCTCAAATGACAAATGTACATAGCTACAGGTACCTGCACAGGACCTTTAAGTACCTTTATTGATCAACAATGGCTGCTAAGGGCCATTCTAATGAATTTCAAGAGAAGCATCAAAGAAGTGAACCAATTGCTCAAACATATAATACATTCAATCTGAGCATACATATAATATATAATTCCAGCATAATATGACACCTTTGAGGAATTGGATATCATTTCTAGGTGCTTTTTCAACACATTAATAATCAATATCATATGATTATGATAACCTTGAGGATCCTAATAGATCTCAATTGGATTTTATACTAAATAATGATTAAATAAGGAACTATTAATAATAATAGTTTACAGTTATTCAGTTTTTTAACATTGGAGTTTACTACCAATTGTTAGCCATTGCTATATATATAAAATTCAAAACACAGCAAGAAATAAATATAATAATTGTACTATCAGAGTTAAGTACTATTTTCACTGAGAGCTTCACAGCTAATCATGAGATAGCATCTAAAATGTCTTTAATATCTAATATTATGAAATATAACATGTTATGTTGCTGGTATCAGTTTATGTCAACAATATACTGTGTCTATCTATATTAATATGCTTTATTAATTCATTAATAAACACATATCAAAGTATCAACCAATATAATATATATACATATGACAGTGTCTCAATTTGGGAATATAACCACCATCAAGACATATACCTGGACTATGCCTGTGATTGTCATTTATCTGAAATGGGATCATCAAACATATATGTGTACCTATGTAAAGAAATAATAACAATTCTTCAATTCAATTCACGTAGAACAAACACACAAAACTGAACAGTAAGTTTGACTAATTTACTGTGAATTAGCAACAAACTCAGCAATACCATTACACTGTTTATATGCATAACATGGTATGTGTTCTCATGTTCAACCTATATGTCAACATAGTTAATGTAACTGTTTCTAATCTGTTGATATCCTATCATACTCTATCATAGGCATTAATAACATAACAATAGTTACTCTGTATTTTAAACTAATTAGATAGCCAAGTTGTTCTATACTTAATGTATTCATAATACTTCTTTCTTAGGTATATTGTATACCTCAATATCGTGCTACATGTCATGTCATTACTCTCGCAAGTTATCGTACATACTAAATCTATTTAATATGTAGAAAGCAATTCATCCAAAAGTTCAATAAAACAAGTGAGAAACTGCGTTTAATAGTATGCGTGTTATTAACGTAAATTCACTTACCACAACTTCTAGTCAGAATTACCTTACAGTCGAATTTGTAGGCGGGATTGGTACCGCTTCTGAACTTTTAAAATCACTAGTATCCTGACGACTTAGGCGTAATGCCGGTTAGTCAGGGAGAGAAACACCTCAATGCCTACAATATTCACAATTATCTATCTCTTATTTGTTTTTATAATAATATCAACACTTTCGCTCCAAAACTCCCGCTGCCCCCGTTCAATCGTCCGTCATCCACTTGTCAATGTCACATAGATTACTTTGGCTCTGGCCTCTGACGTTCCGTTTCAGGTTACATGATTATTGACTTTACCATTTTTAATTAATGGTGCGTCACACGATAGTTAACAATACATTGTACAGAGCTAAGGCGAGTCCTTCTAGTAGTTCCTTAGTACTGTTTACTATGAAAATTAGTTAATACTTCCCACCGAGAGTTTCCATTCCTCAATACAAGTCAATTCGCTGCAGGGATGATAGGTGTCACAAACCTGAATTTTAAAAAGTTCTTAAAATTGTAATAGATAAAGTATCCTAATTCGGCCGCCATCTTGGATTTTTCCTTTTTAAATACTTTTAACATATACACTGGTGATAGAAACATTTCATCCATATATTGTACAGAGCCCAGGTTACATACACCTAGGAGTTCCTTAGTACGGTTTACTATGAAAATCGATGTATGGTGTTGCCAGGAGATTTTGATAAAAACCACCTAGGACCCTTTGAGGGATAATTTTGGACCAATGCTCATCACTGTTTTGTTCAAATTGACGAAAAAAAGTTGCATGTTTTTTACTTTTCTTCGAAATTACCCCAAAAACGGGAATTTTTTTTGGACCAGGTAATATTTCCCACCGAGAGTTTCCAGTCAACAAGGCAACCAAGTCAACTCGCTGCAAGGTTTAGTGGTACCCCAAAATTGAATTTTTAAAAGTCCCTAAAAATGTCAACATAAATTAAGTACCCTAACTCGGCTGCCATCTTAGATTTTTACTTTTTAATACTTTTGACATATTCACCCTAGTGACAGAAACATTTCGTTCATACATTGTATAGAGCCTCGGTGACTCCTTCTAGTACTATTACTCTCTAAGAAAACTGATGTAAGGTGTTGCCAGATAATTCTGACAAAAACCACCTAAAATCAATAGAGGGATTGTTTTTGACAGATTTTCATCATTCTTTTGTTTGAAATGTCCAAAAAATATTTTCCCACTTTTTTAGGACCTATCTCAAAAATTACCCTAAAATCGGGGAAAAATTTTATACCAGGTAATACTTTGTGTTGAGACACATCATCTCTCCATAGAAGTCGACTGGCTGTGGGGTTGGCAAGTGTCCTAAAACTACATTTAAAAATATCCCAAATTTTCTCCGAAAAGCAAAACTCCCCTATCTCTGCCGCCATTTTGGATTTTTACTTCTTAATACTTTTGATGTATTCACCCTAGTAGCAGAAACATTTCGTCCATACATTATGTAGAGCCTCGGTGACTTCTTCTTGTAGTATTCCCTAAGAAAACTGATCTGAGGTGTTGCCAGATAATTCTGACAAAAACCACAAAAAACCCTTAAGGGGATGACTTTTGACAGATTTTTATCATTCTTTTGTTTGAAATGTCGAAAAAAATTTTTCCCACTTTTTAGGACCTGTCTCAAAAAATACCCCAAAATCGGGGAAAATTTTCATATCAGGTAATACTTTGTGTCAAGAGACATCATCTCTCCATAGAAGTCGACTCGCTGCGGGGTTGCCATGTGTCCTAAAACAACATTTAAAAATGTCCCAAATTTTCTCCGTAAAGCAAAACTCCCCTATCTGTGCCGCCATCTTGGATTTCTAAAATTTCATAATTTTCCCTAGAGGCCGGGTCCTTCGTCTATCCGACGACGCATAGTGCGTTGAGCTAGCACACTCGTAGGTACCCTATCAATTTCAGTTTTTGAAGCTACATCTCAATTTCAAAATTTGTACCATGTTGTATGGGTGTTGCCAGCAAATATCGATAAAATCCACCTAAACCCCTTCGGGGGACGATTTTCGTTAGATCACCAAGGCTTCTTCATTTAAAATGTCGAAAAAAATTTTTCCCACTTTTTGGGACTTTTTTCCAAAATTAACCCAAAATCGGGGAAATTTTTTAGGCTTGATAAACCTTCCTACTGAGAGTTATCCAAGTCCGTAGGAAGAGACAAGCTTCGAGGTTGCCATGTGCAGCAAAAACGCGATTGAAAATATCCCAAATTTTTTCCAAAAACTAAATCTCCCATAGCTTGGTCGCCATCTTGGATTTCTGAAATTTCATAATTTTCCCTAGAGGCCGGGTCTTTCAGCCTCCCAATGCCCTACAATAGGGATCGGTAGCATCCCCGCAAGTACCCTAGGAATTTCAGTTTTTGGAGAGACACCCCAATTTCTATTTTGGTCAAACCATGTATGGGTGTTGCCAGCAAATTCCAACAAAACCCACCTAAAACCCTTTAGGGGATGTTTCTCGATAGGCCTTGATGCCTCTTTTGTCAAAAATGTCGAAAAAATTTTTTCCCACTTTTTGGACCATTTCTCCCAAATTACCCCAAATTCGGGAATTCTTTTTAGCGCTGGCAATACTTCTTACCGAGACCCATCATCGCCCCATAGAAGCCGACTCGCTGCGGGGTTGCCCTATACCTAAACAATGACTTTGAAAATAATCCGGATTTTTAGGACCAAATTCACACGCCCCCAACTCGTCGGCCATCTTGGATTTTCGAAATTTCATAATTTTCCCTAGAGGTCGGGTCCTTCGAGTTTCCTATGCCCTACAACCGGTGTCGCCAGCACCCCCGCAACTACCCTGGGAATTTCGGTTTTTGAAACCCTAGAAAATTTTCAACCAGTTTTTGGCAATTTTTTCGCCGCCATCTTGGATTTTAATTTTTTGTTTTTACGCCATATTCTGGGTCCCGCCGAGACGTGCCAAATCACTCTTTGAACGGAATCGATCCGAGCGAAACTGTAAAAGTTAGCCGCCATCTTTGTCCGCCATCTTGGATTTTCCCAAATTTCGGAATTTTCTCGTGGTCACCCTAGCCAAAGGAACATTTCCCCCATACATCGTCTCGACCCCCGGACGCTCCTTCTGGGAGAACAACTATGTCAATCAGTGAGTGAGTCACCGTAATGCAGCTTTATATATTATAGAATAGATATATATATATAGGATATTACCCCGAACAAACAAATATACAAACTTTACCTCTGTATACATAATCTAGCCATAAATGGTGTTACAATAATAAACCAAAAATAAACAAAATACTGCATTTCAATTTGGAATCTGTCATTCTTTTCAATTTAAAGTGTTATCTTTTATGCCTTAAAAAACAACTTTTTAAAGCAATTTGTCATGATCGACGCAATCAAAGCTTTGGATATCTCGTTATATAATGATTAATAATAAGCAAGATATTTCCCTCGATAATAATAAAGTGACGATTGTGGCTTGACTTTTGGGTGAGTCCATCCATGACCAAGACATTTGTAACAGATCTGAAATATCGGAAGCTCTAAACAAATATTCGTACATACATATAATGAGTTCATATGAAAATTATTTGAAAATGGACCAAGAATAGACCCTTGAAGTACACCTATTCCAGAAGTGACCCGTTAGCCGTAGCAAAATAATATGTATAAATATAAATTTATGTACAGAGAATCCAGTATTTCAGTACGGAACACCCTCGCATATTATACTACGACCGCAATATTGTCGAATATGCAAACTTAACATCCCGACGTGTCAGCAGGAAGGATCCTTTTTATTATGTCGATTTTAATGCACGCACGCTTACTTCGCTTGGTAATAATGTTACTGTAAGTTTATTTTATTTCATATTAACTTCCATCTCTTGCATCACATTCTGTAAAGGTTTATGAAATCCGTCATTTTTTATATAACTTTGTATCATTTTTGTAACACTTTATCAATACCATTGTGCTTCGGTATTATTACATTCTTATGGAGAAGTAAGAAGAAGATTGTGACGTTGACCGGTAACTATATTCATTGGCTGTTTCTTCGTCACTTCTAAAGTACTATTTTAATTATGTGATATTATATTTTCAATAGATTGTTTCGTATAATTTTTATATTTCTTTGTTATCCTTATATTATGTTTCTGCCACTTTCATATTCCATAGTACAACATTTGATGAATTTTCAGTATGTTTTTTAGTTATTTTTATTCTGCTAGCTTTTTTTATTTTATTTCCTTTATAAACCTATTCCGATGTTGAAAATTCTAAATTAAAATTTAAAAAATTGAGTACGATTTGCTGGATTATTTTGTCTTGGGAGACGAGTACAAATACGATCCAGGGCACAAGTTTCAGGAGTCTAGGGAGAGGGTAAACTAAGAGCGTAATAAGACGCTGCTCGACAACCAGTCTTGGTCTCTGTGTCTATACTCGTATATCGTATATACTAGCCCGAACGGCGCGGCACCGGGCGCTACCGCATAGCTAACACACGTAGTCCGTGAGTGCGCATACTCATCGTGCGGTGCATGCTGTTGATACGAGTAAATACTAAGTGATAGTGTTAGGATGTTCTAATAGTATGGTACGAGATAATCACGTGCACTCCCCTTCATCGGTTCATCGTCTACGGTTCCCACAACAGAATTCTCAAACGAACTTTTGTGTATACATTTATTTTTAGTTATACTATTTTTAGTAAATTTACTTTTACATCTTTCCTTTTTTTATTAATAGCTGTCCCCTAATGTGACAACCTCTGAAATAATTTATGGATGATTTACATATGATTTACAGGTAAACTTTTATTTCTTCGAGTTCCTCACCAATGTATATAAACGGGGCTTCATCGAAATGCACTTTCGTGGTTGCGACTTCATTAACAAGGACAGTTTCTTCGCTGGCGCTCTGAGGAGACAAGCGAACTCATCAATATTAGCACAGTGTCCTTATCCAAAGGTTACTGTATTATCCTCACACACGTATTATGTCACACTTATATAGATAGATAATTTTGTTTGAATGGGACACGGAATGATAGGTGAGGTTAAGTAAGCCCAAGGTTGATAGAAATAAATAACATTATTAAGTCAGTAATTCATTCTATGGTAATTGCGTAAGATTTTCTAATTAACTGCCAGAATCTGCTATAAATCTGACAGAGAGGCGATTGAAATCCTATATTAAACAATCTTTGTGTAGACGAACAATTATAGGGTAGACGAATACATAGATGACAATAATATCTAGTAAAAATAAGTTTATTTGCATACAATGTTATATTTTTTTTCAGGGTAATTATCACTTTCACAACATGAGCATCCCATTAAGCCAAGTACCAAGAGGATTCCCGTTTACTAAAGGTCGTATTTACTGTAACCTTACCATCACAGACACTGATATTGTATTTGGAAGTGGATATATTGATTTAGAGCTGAAGACTACAAGAATTTCAAATTAAGTTTAAATTTTTTCTACTATTTTACAATTTAATTTAATTTACACACTCTTGGCCTAATAATACAGTAATCCATGATATAAATAAAATAATATACTGAACATAAAAAACGATTTAATTTAATTTAACAAAAATAATTTAATTTTAATGCATACAATACAAAAGGTCCTTAACACGTGCGGCATTTTCTGCCATTCAACGATAGGTGGTGCAAAAGAATAATTGTTGGCGGTGCAAATATAATTAACGAAAAACAAAATTAAACAACGTTTATACAGAACGAAATATATAATATATACTTTGGGATACAGTAAAATATGACAAATATGCATAAACATATACTACATGACTTTATTAAATTACGAGTACAGTCAGTCGCACTGTGCTTCACTTCATTTTTATTACACTACTATGGTTGCTTGTTTTATACAAGCAACCATATGGTCTATCTGATGGTAAATAGTTACCGTAGCCTATGGACGCCTGAAACACCAAGTTATATACCCTTCAGAAAAACCTCATGTTGTAGTTTCGTAAGAAAACCTAGGCAGGTAATTCATTCTACAATCTAAGTGTATGCGGAAGAGAGCTCCTCTGAAACCCCACTGTTCGATCAAAGGGCAACCGGGGGCGCCGGCAATCTAAACTCAATGTTATCACATACTTTAAGAATAAACTAAAGACTATAATACATGCGTGTTTGTGTCAAATGCATTGTAATGTGTATAATATTTTTTTATTGAATTAATTTTTATTTATACATATTTAAAAAATATATTAACAGTCTGCATTCCTTCCCTATATAAACTATAACTGTCTTATTACAAAAAGATAAACCTTATTTAGGACTAACAATAAACCATTGAGCAATGTATTCAATTACAAATACAAATAATTACAAAACTAATTGTCTCTAAACCGTGATTTGTCTATAATAATAGTAATCTCAAGACAATTCACACAGCGCCATCTAGACCCCAAGTTAAGCTACCAAAAGCTAGTGTTATGGGCACTAAACAACTGATACTAATACATAGATATTTTTTTTTCGTAAATACATACATATTATACATAGAAAACACCCAGACCGATACAAACAATCATACTCATGAATACAATTATTGTGTAGTGCGAGGAATCGAACCCGCGACCATCGGTCGTAAAGCGGTATGCTAGACCGCTAGACCACCGAGGTCGTCAAAAACTAAAGTTAACCTGCGATGCAAACATTGTATTGTTAGTTGTTGTTTTGTGAAAAATATCTTAACTAAATTAAAAATATATGAACTAAACAACATTTAAAGCAAATTATACAAGAAAAAATGAATATATAAAAAACATTATTTGCGTTTGTTTTCACTATTTTGACTTTAAAATGTTGGCCGACGTTTCTGTTGACTTGTCCTTTATTATATGCGATGCTGGAGAAATTATTTCGCGTATTATTGCCTAAAACATTTGAAATATTGTGGTTACCATAATTTGCCTTTCACGTATTAAAACGTAATTGTATGAATTTTATAGTTCACTAGCTTTTGCCCGCAGCTTCGCTCGCGTTAATTTATCCCCTTAGGGGTGGAATTTATCAAAATCCTTTCTTAGGGAAAGCCTACGTTATTGTAGCTTTATGCGTAGGTACAAAGTCTCAGCCCGATTGGTTTAAAATTGACAAAGTTTCATACAAAGTTTCATCCTCATAATCATATCATTTATATCATTTTATCCCCTTGGGGGTAGAATTAATCAAAATCCTTTCTTAGCGGAAGCCTACTTCATAACATCTACCTTCATGCCAAGTTTCAGCCCGATCCGTCCAGTATAGTATCTATATAATGTTATACATATGTGGGGAATATATAATGAACGATTTAACTGTAGTAGTAGGTAACTAAGTAATCCTCCGTTAGATCTGGATTTACAATATTGTTAGGTTTATTCCAAGTATTAACTTTAGGAATGATTTAAACCTCGGCCATTTAGAACCACTTTTCCTCCGAGGTTTAACAATTTTTTTATAATAAGACCGTGTGTTCGAAATTTCATACTCCTCCGTCCGAATATTTCTCGTAGAAAGGGGTACAAAGTTTTTGGTTCACGCATTAATATGTATTATAATTATATATTAACTGAAGTCTTATACGTAATTTATGTATGTTTTCTTTTTTCGTACACGTAATAATTGATCTAGTAAACACGTAAAGATCTCTTCTTTAAGATAAGCTCGTCTTTGTACATAACATTTATCATTAATTACTGTATTTTTCCTGTGTGTGTGCACAATGAAGAATAATAAAATCTATATGTTGGCACAATATGTATATTCGTTGTCAGCCTGTTACATGATTTGTTGCTTGTTTAATTTATGAAAAAAACGAGATCCTATATTAATCGTAAGATAATCAAGTCTTAATAACCATTAGTATTATTAAATAGATTGCAGATGATATATTTACTAAAATTAAGATGAACATGTTAGATAAAATTGGACTGCACATCTATTAAAATAATTTCAACATGTCCGGCATTTCATTTCGATGCAATTCAATACATTTAATTTAAATACAAGACTGAAGTCGATTGTTCGGTCATTTAGTGGATTGCAATCCAATATCGCGGGTGGTGTTCATGGGATTATTGTAATCATCGGATTCTTTTTTTATTTGATACAAGAGGCGAGGGCAAGGTAATTAAGTGGTGAGGTTGGTACTAATGACAACTGTTAACTGCCATATACCATATACCATATATAGCATACTAGCAACCCCACCCGTCTACATTTTAGTATGGCTGGGTATTTTGCTCTAAGATTTTCAGATAGACCTTAGCTAATGTGCATTTTGATTTAGCTGTTTGTTTTTATAAGAATTTATAAACTTTGTTAACGTGACAGTCAGAGCCAGTAAGGTTCTTCTTTTATTAAAACTTAAATATCTGCTAAAGTGTTGGGTGAAATCAAATGATATATAGGACGATTATGTTGATTAAATACTTATAATAAATAACGTATATGTTTGGATAAAAATTAATATCATATTTATAGAAATAGCTTCGCAAACAATCCAGTATTCCAGAAAAAAATTGTGAATAAATATTTTAACACTTAAAAGGACTATTTTGAGTGTTTAAATATTTATTCATAGTAGTAGTAGTAGTAGTAGTAGTCATAGGAGGTCATAGCGTGATGATAAGTATATAGCCTTTAGTACTACAATACACACTACAGTTACGATTTTTAATATCGGAACACCAGAACCGGAGGCTTTACTGAACAAACAAACATACAAACTTTACCTCTTTATAATATTGGTATAGATTAGATATGTAAATAAGTGCCAACCCTTCTAATATATAAATTTATACATTATTTATTTATACTATATATCGCACACCTAATACAATAGTAATATAAATTTACTCTTAAAAAAATTACATCTTTAAAGTTTTATGTTTTTTATTTAATGCAGTATTGTATGGGATATGCAGTCCTTTATAGTCGTCAACGAGTGCTGCTTGTAGGGACTGGTCTGCTCTAATCACTACGACTGATTTACTCTTATTTAATTACACAATCAGTTGATTTGGTATTTAACATTTTGACTCTGATGAATTAGTGCTGGTTGGTAGTTTGTATTCACACGTTTCAACTTAAAAATTAAAAATTAGAATAATTATTTAAAAGAACAACGCCAAATTTCCATTTCGTTCTGCTTTCGATGAGACAATATTCTAAAAGGTGGTGGTGTTAAAAAAATAAGTATAAAAACATAAATGATCTTAATTTAAATAAACTTAAACGCTTTTGAATAGTCATATTTCTCCCACTCGTTCGAAACGCAGACTCATTATAATAAGAATGAGCAAGAACTTGCATATTTTAAAGAATTTTCTATTCTATTCTAATTTGTTCTATATTTGATGTCTACTCCGCTATTAATCTAAATGCTAGAATATAAAGTACAGGGTATAAAGACGTTGTACTTCGGAAAAATTAGAGAAAATCTTGATTTTTGCATGAACCTTCATTTTGGTGTTCTAAACAAAATCCCAAAAGTCCCCATTGATCCGTTTGCCGCTAAAATTTCTTAAATTTTTCCGAAGTTCGGTCTTTCTTTTTGTCTTTATTCCCTGAACTAAAATGGAAGTAATAGTTATATTACATACTTTAGTACATACGTTTTTTCAGTCTACAATTAGTCCTATCAAGCGTAGTTGGTAATTTAACCATTCGGCATTATATTTCTATAATGATTTCCTGTAATTATTGTGTGCACCTAAAATTTGTATTTAATGTTCTGTTCATATATTCGGCCATCTTCGTTCATTACACGATAGCTTGTATACCTACACCAAAGTGTTATTGGTGTCTTTATATGTAACTAGCTACTCGCCTCATTATATGCATATATTATGCATATAAAACTTCCTCTTGAATCACTCGTATCTTTTAAAAAAATCACTTCCAAATCTGTTGCGTAGTTTTAAAGATTTAAGCATACATAGGGACGGCAGACAACAACAGTGACTTTGTTTTATACTATGTAATGATTGCAATTGCAAGTTAGCTGACGACCCGCCTGATGGTAAATGGTAGCCGTCGCAACGCCTATATACATGAGCAGCACTACGTACATCTTGCGCTTATGATACTCATGAACTGTGATACTCAACTGCTGAACTGAACAGTATGAAGACAAAAACAGATAAAAAATACAAAAAAATTAGCCAAAAGAAACAAAGAAAATTAAAAAAATATAGTCCACATAATTGAAGTGGACTATTTTTTTATTTTTAACTAAGTTAGGTTAAGATTAGTATTTCTTTATATGTTAATTCCCGCCCTAGGAGGCTTACCACGTACGGGTAGCTATAAGTACTAAGCTTTTTAGGACGGCTCTTACGCGGAAATCATGCCGTGGTAAAGGGGTTCACTCCGAGGCCTTTACCCCATTATTCGGATGACCAGAGTCAGTCAACCATTACCAAGAACTCATATGTCATGTTCACCCCCTCCTGTTCCCTTACTTTGACTCTAACCTATTTTACTGTTTGAAATTAATAAAATAAACTTGTTTTTGTAACTACACATATAACGTTGTTGCATTTTGTATTGCAGATTAGATTAAATTTAAAATTGCTTGATAATGTCACTCTGTTCATATATTTCCATAATTTATGAGGTATGTGTTATTGACTTTGCTAATTATGTAATGTTAAATAATTCGTATGCATTATCAGGCGGGCCGTCAGCTTATTTGCCATAAAAATAACAATAATAATAATTAAACTCCAGTACATTTATAATAGAATTATTTATTATAATTCTACTACTTGAATTAGGCAATTAACAGACGTGGCGACGGCTAAACTTGTATACTTTAGTTATTTCCATAGCATTATGTCATATGGTATACTACTGTGGGGTAAAGCAGCCGATATAAATACTATATTTATTTTACAAAAGAGAGCCATACGTTCTATTTATGGTATGGGTTCAAGAGAGTCATTACGTCAGTGTTTTAAAGATTCAAATATCCTCACCGTTACTTCACAATACATTTATGAGAATATCATGTATACAAAGAATTTAGAGAGTTTTAAAAAACTTAAAGACTGTACAAATAGAAACTTACGCAATAAAAATAAGCTAATTTTACCTAAATACCGTCTGCACAAAGTCAGTAATTCATTCTATGGGAATTGCGTAAGATTTTATAATAAACTGCACTACTAAATCTGACAGAGAGGCAATTCAAATCTTATATTAAACAATTTTTGTGTAAGAAAGCCTATTACAGGATAGACGAATTCATAGACGACAACATATCAAGTAAATAACTAGTTTATTAGCATTAAATAATTTAATTTTCTCATTGCTTTCTTGATTTAATTGATTGATTTTAAAATATGAAAGCGTAGCGGTTTTTGTATTGATTGCACACATATAGCATTCTTATGTAAAATGTGAATACTATAACTATCAGATAGCAATTGTAAATAGCTTTAAATCTACATGTGTTTTGAGTAGTCATGCTCACTAAACTGTCCAGACTTGTGGCTGCGTGGTGGGCCGGGTCATTGGGCTCCCTAAAATATGGTCGAACGCAGTGATGGCTGGCTCATCCGTCATACTCGTGAACGGGTGCTGCTTGTAGGGACTGGTCTGCTCTAATCACTATGACTGATTTCCTCTAATCACTATGACTGACTTTATTAATTGTTTAACCAGTTGGTTATATATTCAATATTTTTTCTATTTCAGTATTTAATTGAATTAGTGCTAATTGGTGGTTTGTATTCACACAAAACTTAAAAATGTAATTATGTAATAATAAATTATTTAAAAGAAATATACAAGTTTCTTGCTCGTTCTTCTTGTGATGAGACAGCTTTCCGAAAAATTAAAAAATGTAATGACTATTCAAAAGTGCTTCAATAAGTGCTTCAATGTAAGTTTATTTGAATAAATGATTTTCTATTCTTTTCTATTCTATTCTACACACTACAATTTCAATTACAGGAAGTGCTCGTATTCCAGTTGACTGGTTATCTATCGTCTATCTGTCTATCCGCCTGTCCTCGCGTTTCGGCTTCACCAATTCGTTTAACAGATCGCAGGACAATAAATATCACGACGGACATTTCCAATTTCCATCCTTACATAAGCGTCTTACTTCGTGTTAATTTATTTTTTGCAGTTATCAATATGCGTAAGTATGGGCACGTTTTCACCGGATTACAGACAGTCTATGGCAATTATAAATATTTATTATTAAAATCAAGAGGCGAATTTTAAATGCGTTCTTTGGCATTATAAATGTAAAGGGACGAATTATAAATGCCAAGGGTCGTATTATAGATGCTAAGGGACTATTTATAAACGTGAAGTGATGAACTATAGATGCCAACGGATGAATTATTGACACCAAGGGACAAATGTTCAATAAAGGAATTAATTATTAATAAGAAGAAAAAAGAATGAAGAAATATGAAGAGATGAATAATTGACAAAAAGCATTTTTAGATGCCAAAGAACTATTATAAAAGTAAAATTGCCAAGAGAAGAAGAGACACGAAAAGTCAAATTGCAGATTCTAGGAATAACAATGTAGTTTACATCTGCATTATGCTAAAAGCTTTGTTTTCTTAATAAACTTACCTAATAGTTGTAGAATTAATAAAAATATAAATAGTCATCGATAAAAAGATAAAGAGTATGGTGGTCCTATATATATGTTAGAAATAGAAATAATATTTATACAAAGGTGTTTCGCCTTTGTGTATTTCAAAAGAAAATAATTTATTGGAAAAGGACTGAGACATACGATTTCGTCTAGGAAGAACGTCTTCTACACTCCGAAGTAAGCAAAGTAACACCAAACTTTCTCATCTTTGCTCAGGGACATCCCTATGTGTAGTATTGTTTAGTGGCCACGCACTCTAAGAGTGTATATTTTAATAAAAACAATTATATTTTTGTATTAAAATATATACAACAGTTTGCGAAAAAAATATATCTGATCTTTTTTTAATAGGATAATTTGGTTTATATATTACTATTACAATGTAATATAATGTTATCTGTAGTATTATTAAATAATTCTCAATAAATTACGGAAAATATTTACCATTATTAAGTTGAATATGTTAGATACAATTGGCTTACATGTATATTAAAATAATTTCAATATTTCTGGCAATTTGGTACTATTTAGGTTTAGGTTGAATTTAAATACAAGACTGAAGTCGTTTGTTCAATCATTTAGTAGATTGCAATCCCATATGGCGGGTGGTGTTCACGGGATTATTGTAATCATCGGATTATTTTTTTATTCGATACAAGAAGCGAGGGAATTACAAGGCACGGTTGGTACTAATGACAATTATTAACTGCCATATATATTTGAATACTAGCAACCCGACCCGGCTACGTACGGGCTCAATATTTAACTTTTACGCTGTTCGACATATTTCTGTATGGCTGGTATTTTGGTATGTGTGAAAACTGTGAAAGCACTGCATATATGTTAACATTCTCTAAAATTTTTAGGAAACGTCCTTAACATGCTGTAAAAAGTGAAATTTAAGTTTATATAATTTCCATTTAAATTTAGCTATTTGTATTTATAAAAATTTGTAAACTGCGAGATATTTCAGACAGTCAGATAAAAACATAGACAATAAAAAAGACTTATGTAACACAGTTTCGCACACAGTCAGTAAGACTTCTGTTTTAAAAGTAAGATATCTCCTAAAGTGTTCGTTGACATCAAATAATGTAAAATACAATTTTGTTCAAACTTAAATACTAATTAATTGATTAACCAGTTGGTTGTATATTTATAATTTTTCTATTTGAGTATTTAATTGATTTAGTGCTAATTGGTAGTTTGTATTCACATACTTAAACTTACAAATGTAAATAAAGTAAGAATAAAATTATTAAGAACGAAACAAGAACTTGCGTGTTGCTCACACGCAAGTATCTTGCTCGTTCTTCTTGTGATGAGACAGCTTTCCGAATGAGCGGTAGATTAAAAAAAATGTGATGACTATTCAAAAGTCCTTCAATGTAAGTTTAGTAAGATTTTCTATTCTACTTATTTATTTGGAGAAGGATTAATATAATGTTTATAAATTAATTACACCTTCGCAAATAATTAAATGCATTATTTTAGAAAAAATATGATATATAACCATAAAATAATTTATAGTTATTTAACTTTAAAAGATAGCCATATGTTGTGGCGGTTGACTTTTTTAGAACTCTTAAAGGAGAATAATTTCGTCATACATATTTTTACGTAACTCCGACAGCCTCTGCGGTCTAGCGGTTTAGTACACCGCCTTACGAGTACTTCCGATGGTCGCGGGTTCCATTCCTCGCACGGCACAAACATTTGTTCAAATTCAAATTTAAAATATCTTTATTCATGTAGGTCTATTACAGACTCTTATGATATGTCAAATTAAATTATCTGTGTCAATGGGAAAGTTATACACCTCATAACAAAAGTTAAATGTGTATGGTGTAAGGTCCGAAGGTTCCAGTGTTAAAATGGGTGTTCCTCAGGGATCTATTCTTAGTCCTTTTTTATTTTTAGTTTACATTAATGACTTTCTTTATATGGTAGAAAAAATAGCAGATATAGTTCTGTAAGCTGGTGATACTTCATTAATATTTAAAGTCAGTCGACATATTGATGATATGAAATAAGTAAACAGTGTTCTCTCTTCTCTTTTAAAATGGTTTACTGCTAATAATATGCTATTAAATGGAGATAAAACAAAGTGTATTAAATGTACGCTCCCCAATGTAAGGAAGGTTGATTCAAAAATCGTACTGAACAATAAACTTATTAACTTTGTTGATGATACTGTATTTCTTGTTATCATATTAGACTCCATACTGCAATGGGGTGCTCATATTTCTAAATTGGCGAATAGACTTAGTTTTGCCGCTTATGCGGTAAGAAGAATTAGACAATTAACAGACGTGGCAACGGCTAAACTCGTGTATTTTAGCTATTTTCATAGCATTATGTCATACGATATTTTATTATGGGGCAAAGCAGCTGATATAAATACAGTCTTTATTTTGCAAAAGAGGGCCATCCGCTCCATTTACGGTATAGGCTCCAGGGAGTCTTTGCGTGAATGTTTTAAAGAATCAAATATCCTCACCGTTGCTTCTCAATACATCTACGAAAATATTATGTATGCCAGGAAAAACATTAACAGTTTTAAAAAAATAGGTGATTACACTAATAAAAGCTTACGTAATGTCAACAAACTAGTTTTACCTAAGTGCCGTTTGACGAAAGTCAGCAATTCGTTTTATGGAAATTGTGTAACGTTTTACAACAAAATCCCAGAGTCTGTAGTCAATTTGCCAGAAAAAAATTAAAATGTGTCATAAAATATTTTCTTTGTAAAAAAGCTTATTATAAAATTGAAGAATTTATAAATGATAATAATGTTTTTGTAGAAAATATCTAACTTAAAATTCATAGCGCTGACAATGTTATCTGATTGAACAGAGATTAAGTGCGTAGCAGTGTTGTTGTCTATGTTGATTGTCGCATGCCTAATCCTTGTTGTTAATTAAATATAAGTAAATCAATATTTATTCAAAAGAGCAACACACAAATTTCTTGCTTATCCTTCTTGTGACGAATCTGCATTCTGAATAAGCGGTTGAATAAAAAAAACTTGTCTATTCAAAAGTGCTTATATTAAGTTTATTTGAATAAAGATTATTTCTATTTCTATGTAAAATTGTAATTAAGTCCACGTAGTCACTCAAGTAGTCGTTTATGAAATGTTTTCATAAAATCATCGGTCTGGGTGTTTTTTATATATAATGTGCATGTGTTTACGAAAAAAAATCTATGTATTTGTTTCAGTTGTCTAGTACCCATAACAGAAGCTACTATTAATATTATTTTGCTACATTTTTCATTGCTGCTCCTCTCCAATCGGTCATAGCTTGATTTTATATAGCCTATAGTACTCGGAGATAATATTTAACATTTAGATATTCCGATAATTAAAATAACAACATGCGATAATTTAATTTAAAGTGTTTTCTTTGACGACATAAAAAACAAGATTTTTAACCATCTTGATAAAATACTTTGGATATCTCGTTATCTATAATATCTAACTAATACTAAACAAGACATTGGCTTGACTTTTGGTCGCTGTTACAAATGTTTGTCAACCCGTAATCCGTTTTCCGTCTGTTGACTTGTAACAGTACTGAAATATCCAATATTTATATATTTAATAATGTGTTAAACTATATTATAAATGCGAAAGTAACTGAAAAGTCTGTCTGTTTGTCTTGCTTTCACGCCAAAACTACAATGCATCGATTTAAATGAAATTTTGTACAGGAATAGTATATTTATTTATTTCAAGCTACTAGCCTCTTATTATAATTACTTATAAATTACCTTATAGGTACATAATACCTTATAGACTAACATACATATGAAATAATATAAAATTGAAACGACGGCAATCTGCCACGGTAGCGCCGATACACCACGTTAGGCCAGTAGTCCTTCTTCATGAAGGTGGCAACATGTTGGTGGGGCCCCGGGCCACAAACGAGAGTATAGACCCTGAGTAAGGAAATAAGCTACTTTTTAATGTAAAAAAGGGTTGTAAGGGGTTGAATTTCGTACCGAAATATCGTCATTTCTTAAGATAGAAGCGCGAAACTAGGCCGTTTAATATAAATAAACATAACATTCAAAGTTTGTAAAAATGTTATCCTTAAAATAAAATAGTGGATGAAAGTTTTTATGAAAAATCGTAATTTTTGACGCTAGATTGAAAAAAATTTTTCTTTGGGTTAGATTATTGAATATTTTTTCTTTATTTGTTGAAAGTCGCTATAAACACGCGGATGAAGTCGCGGGCACAGCTATATAACATATACTATATATATGTATAATTACAAATTTACCTTACAAAGCTAAGCTAAGCTAGCTACTAGTTAAGCTACCTCGGACAAAGAATTAGTCTAGCTATTCAAAGAGGGAACGCTGCCAGTATCTTCGGAACTTTGCCTAAAGGGACTCCTTCTAATAATATATTTTATTTTTTAAGCTTTTTAATTTTAGATTCTTAGTTGTACAATTAAGTTATGTAAATAAAAGTTAAGTTTTATTAAATTTACAGAGAATCCAGTATTTCAGTACGGAACACCCACGAATATTGTACTACGACCGCAATATTGTCGAATATGCAAACTTAACATCCCGACGTCTCAGCAGGAAGGATCCTTTTTATTATGTTGATTTTAAAACATGCCTACTTACTGCGCTTGGTAATAATATTACTGTAAGTTTATTTTGTTTCATATTAACTTCCATCTCTTGCATCACATTCTGTAAAGGTTTATGAAATCCGTCATTTTTTATATATATATATTTGTAACGCTTTACCATATCCTTATTTATTTTAATTGAATTACTTAATTCAATTAAAAAAATTAAGGATATAGTAATGTAAGTATATTAGAATGGTAAAGAAGTAAATAGCCCACCTGATCTTAAATGGTGAAAGAGTGTAAGTATGTATGTTGTATATAAATATTTGTCACATGATATGCTTCAGCATTATTAGGGTATAATGTGACGCTAGTTATACCACTCATTCCTTAACATTTCGTAATATGTATGACTATATCTATCATATTTAGTTCCAACAAGCTTCTTGGACTACTTGTCGAATCTAAGAACCTATATTAGTTAGATTATAATAGTTATCTATACATATAAATAAAATTGGAGTGTCTGTTTGTAACATTGAAATAACCGGTTTCTACTACATGCATAGGAATATGAATAAGATACATAGACCAAAATAACATTTTTTACAATTTTTGTCTATCTGTTTGTTCCGGCTAATCTTCCGAAATGGCTGGACCGATTTTAACGGGACTTTTTTTGGCAGGTAGCTGATGTAATAACGAGTAACATAGGCTACTTTTATTTTAGAAAACTAAAGTTAAATTCCACATTTTAACAGCTAGTAGATAATAAATATACACAGTTGTATAGTAGATATATTTATAATAGTTAATAATTAATTGCAAATAGAAGTAATGCTATTGACATCGACCGAGTTAGTTTCATAATTTTTGAGGGTAGAAAACTGATCTGTAAGCGGTATTTAGAGCTAATAATTCATTCTTGTCTTGGCCGCAGTTCTGTTAAGACGTACCAATAAAGGATTACGAATATAAAACAAGATTTCATTATCTGGTAGCTAGAAAACACATTTAGCTTTTATATTGATTACAATGCATTGTTTGCCGTCAACATTTTAATTTTTATCACTTCACACTATCGTCACTCAAGCAAGAATAGTGCATACCAGATTGTAATTGTAACATTTCTTTTTATTATTCAGATTTATTTTGTTGTTAGTCTTTTAAACAAATAAGAGGGTCAACATACAAATATCACTTACACAGGTTTCAATCACTAATTAGTTTAAGTTATTAAAATACATGACGAATCTAATCATAAGTAAGGTCGATAAATAGTGTGATTTTAACCTTTTCTCAAAGCAAACGTTAGTTTTTTTATTAAAACATATTCGCTAATGTGAGAACCTATAACGTAATTCATGGATTGTTTATATATAATTTGCAGGTACACTTTTATTTCTTCGAGTTCCTCACCAATGTATATAAACGGGGTTTCATCGAAATGCACTTTCCTTTGTGCGACTTCATTAACAAGGACAGTTTCTTCGGTGCTGCTCTGGGAGGACAAGTGAACTCATCAGTATTATCACAGTGTCCTTTTCCAAAGGTTACTATATAATTATCTTTGTCACACTTAGATACAATAGAAATAATAATAATAATAATCGCAGGACAATTCACAGCGCCATCTAGACCCAAGTTAAGCTAGCTAAAGCTTGTGTTATGGGTACTAATGATAACTGATACATATAAATAGATTTTTTTGTAAATACATACATATTATACATAGAAAATACCCAGACCGATACACACAATGATCTCATGAATAGAAATGTTTGTGGCGTGCGAGGAATTGAACCCGCAACCATCGGTCGTAAAGCGGTGTGCTAGACCGCTAGACCACCGAGGTCGTCAGAAATTAAATGAATGTTTATTTACAAAATACCGGTAATTACACAGAGCAGATCTTACATAATAATTAATAAGGTGTTCAGCAATATTTACCATTCAAGGTATGTAAATTATCTTACATTTAAAACCATAAAATTATTTGAAATTCTATAATATAACAAATTTATTTAATTTTAGTTTAATTAGATTAATATATATTAGACGAATACATATAATTCTCATAAATTAAAGTTAGACATAAAATCTTCTACAGAAAAAAAAACAATTAGATATATTGTTTGAATGGGACAGTGTATGCTATGGGACAGTATATGAGTAAGTTGTTGATAGAAATGAAAGTACTTTCTTTAGCAGCAACATTGCGTGTATTTTCAACCATATTTTTTTCTTCTTAAACAAGAATATAAAAGAAAGGTATTAATTTTATGCTGTTGCAATCTGATGATATAGCGATAATGGTTTCGTTGCTTCTATAATTTGACTATATTTTATTGATATGAATCAAGAATGTCGAATATATTAGTTGTAAAAATTCTGGCCGCTGGTTTCAATTTAAGTGTACAGTTTTATAAACAAACCATATCCATGCTAGTTTCGTGAACAATAAAAGTATTAATACATCGCTTTCATTAATAAAGACACAAACATTTTTCTTTTTTATTTTCGAGCATTTGCGTTTACGCGCCAATTTTGGCTGTGCCAAAGAATATATTTTAAATCTATATAAATCTCATTTTTTGATAAATTGTCAATTAATACTTAGTTTGTTAAAAATATGTTAAAACGTTGACATTTAAGTTATTAATTAATTTATAATGTTTTATATTTAATAGTAACTTTAAGAACGACAACTCCTCTAACTAGTCGTAAACTGACCACTTAACCCTACCTTACCTAAACTTGATGACTAACTTCAATATAGATTCCAAATGTGAGTTCACATTAATAAACAGACAAACATCTATTCAAAAGAGTAACACACAAGTTTCTCTTGGTTATTCTTCTTGTGATGAATCTGCGTTCCGTATTAAGTTTACATGAGAAAGGATTATTTCAGTTTCTTAAATTTTGAGATCTCAGTAGATTGATTTGATTGATTTGAGATCATGAAGTACCAAAAGGATTCCCGTTTACTAAAGGGCGTATTTACTGTAACTTGACCATCACAAACACTAATATTGTATTTGGAAGTGGATATATTGATTTAGAGCAGAAAACTACAAGAATTTCAAATTAAAATTGTTATAAAGTATTTATTTTATTTGGGATTATAACAGCTTACATTACTTATATTTTTTATAGTTTAGAAAGACGAAGAAAAATAGAAATATCGTTTCTTCAAATTAAGAATAGACGTATTCTTTCATTATATCGTATTGTCTTAAAATAATTCTTCTATTTTTATATTTTAGTTTATTATGTAGTTCATATTGTATGTCTGCTACGATATTTTTTTTTCTTTTGATAAATCTCTAAAAACCTGTTGTTGGATTGTAAGCTGTTGATTTCTAATAAATAAATAACAATAAATGAATAAATTTAAATATTATTGATATGTATAGATTATATATGTACATAAATGATATAGCATTACTAAGAACCTAAAAATATAAAAAGCTTAAAAAATATAACATAATAATTAAAATATATAATGAATAAATAAATTTACATTTTTAAGTATATTAAGTAGAAATAATGTCAACAAAGGCGGAATTACCCCTAAAAGAGATCTCTTCCAGTCAACCCAATGAAGCGTGTTGTTTTTTTGTGGTCGTGGCGTAGTGTCGGGTAATAATTTTATAAATATATCATAAATAATTAAAATTATACAAAAAAATATAATCTACAAAATACAAATGCCAATACAATATACAAAGAACTATCTACAGAGTGACTCATGATCATATTTAAAAAAATACTATAACTAAACGTACTTAGTTTATTTCGAGTATATTTAAAGTCTGTATAAATTCAGTTGATAAGTAGAATAAATTCTATTACAGGAATAAACCATAAATATATCTTTAAATCCGTTCGTTGACTGCAAAGATTTTAATCTCCTTTTTATTCGTACGCTTGTTTCTAATCTGAGTTTGAGGTTAAATCGCATTTGCATACAAATACAAACGTCTCAGAGACGCTCCTCGCCGAGGAACTTGAGTGACGATTCTTCCAGAATACGTTAATCATTATTATCCTTGGAATATTTTAGAAATCTGGAATGTAAGAGTTGTATTTACGGTTAGCTTAAAATACGACGACTTTGTCGTTTAATGCACCATATATACATCACAGATCGTGAATTTAAGTCGGCTGACACTAAAAACTTTGTGTATTGATTATTTCTGATAGAAATGTAGAAAACAAATGCAAATTAATTTTAGCGACGGTGGTAGGACCCCACTACATTTATTATTTTAAGAATTATATTGTATTTTTTTTAATATACAATATATTATTTTTTTAATGTTTTAAAGCTCGATTCCCTTGTTTTATTGCCAGGTATGTTAAAGGTAGCTATGGGGAATAGTAAATAAAATAGACGTTGTAAAAACACAGAGTTCGTGAATAGGTTATAATAAAAACAAAGTAATAAATTTAAAGAATTGCTATAGAATCTTTACATAGTACAAAACAAAGCCGCCACAGCTGTATGTTCGCTTGTCTTTTTAATTAGGCAACGGTTTTTAATGCAGTTTTCAGCAAAAGATAGAGTTATTTAAGAGAAAGGTTTATATGTATAATATATGTATGTATGCATGTTATAGTATAGAACGAGCCTAGGAATTCAAAGGTAGTGAAATCAAGACAGGTTGCTAGCATAGAAGATACTATTTCTAGTTTCTTTTTGAAAAACCTGAAATCAATATTATATTATACTAGCTGTCCCGGAAAACGTTGTATTGCCTTAAAATAAAAAAAAAATTTAGGGGTGGACTACCCCTAACATTTAGGGGAATGAAAAATAGATGTTGGCCGATTCTCAGACCTACTCAATACGCTCACAAAATTTCATGAGAGTTTGAGGTTAAAAGGAGGAGGTTTCGGAGGAGTATGGGAACGCAAACTGTGACACGAAAATTTTATATATAAGATAAATACTCAGTAATATCTACGCTTGATTACATAGATATATTTTATTTATTGATGATAATGGAATTGTGTACCCGCCTACACTAACAGTTTACGCTGACGAAGCTCCATGAGATAAGATGAGCATGAGCTCAGGTGAGTTAGCCCGTCGTGACCAATTCACCAGGAACTTATTCTGATGGTTTCCAGGCAGGGGCGGATCGTGAATTAGTGGGGTCCTGGGCTAATCTCCTTAGGGGCCTAATTATATTACTCAACTAAAAAAATACACCGTCCAAAAACAAGCGACCAGAAATATCCCTTTCTTTCCGATAGACACGCACTTGCATGTGTTTATTGATCTCAGGTTTGCCAACCTGGTAAGTTTTTTAACATTCTAGATATTTTTTTAGATTATATTTTAAATATGGTGGAGACGGGGGCCCTTTGTATCCTCGGGGCCCTGGGCGGCAGCCCAAAAAGCCCTTAGGTAGATCCACTCCTGTTTCCAGGGGAATTCGCGTGGAGGTCACCCTGACACTGGTACATTGCCAGCAATGGGTTCATTAATCCACATTCCTAACAATCACCTTTCCACCATATATATATTATCAAAATTTTGAACAAAAGAATTTGAACGGACATGTCATTTATTAAAGGTACGTAATAATGAAAAATCACACACGAGTCGACAAGAAAACTCTATAATTGGATGAAAAAAACTTTTCGCTAAAGTAAAGTTTTCGCTTACAAATATTAGTCAAGTAGGTACATAACTTACTTGTTAACTGACTCTATACTGGGCTGGGCAGGAGGGCCGAAGTATTAATAACTTACACATCTACATTTCTTTTCTAGATGATAATGAAATGCACACCCGCTTGTGCTAACAGGTTAAGTTGGCGTGATACCACTGGAGGATGATAGGACGAACATGAGTTCAGGTCAGTTAGCCCATCGTGACAAATTCACCAGGAATTTGTCACGAATGAATTCCACTCGGTTTCACCGCCTGGAAGTCAACCCGACACGGTACCTTGCTAGAAATAGTATCAACAGTCTACATTACTAATAATCCCCCTACATATTTATATAAGGGGGATGAAAAAAGTTAGTTATAGTTAAGTTATAAGTTAATAAAAATATATACAAAGTATCACACATTAATGTTGACAAAATGTGACAAGGGATGTTGACAAAGTGTGACATTTCGTGACAAAGGAGATTGACAAAGTGTGACATTGTGTAATAAGAAATTGGTGGAGCCACATACCTCGTGTATAAATCATGAAATCAAATAAGGTTGCGTATTTCATGTTACCACATGGCGGACTTAATGCCTGATGGCATTTCTAGTCGTCGCGTTAACACAAAAATTATAACAAATAGATACATAAGTATAAGTACTATTTGTACTTATATTTATATTTTAGTCTGTTAACACTATATTTTAACTATAAAAATGTTAACATATCTGAATTGGAGATGGGAGGGAGAGCGGTTTTTACTGGAATTTATATGTCGTACTTTATGAATGGCCTTGAGGAACTTTATTATAGGAAGTACAAAGTCAATGCCGCAGTGGACCACTAGTTCATATTAGTAATATTAATCCTAAAGTATATCAGACAGTCA